TATATATATATGTGTGTGTGTGTGTGTGTGTGTGTGTGTGTTTTTACTCAGTGCAACTTGTGAAAGATATAACACCAACATGTCAGAAAATTGTTTAAAAACAATCACTGAGTTGGAAAAAGGATCACCCCACTCATAAAAAACTGACTTGTAAACTCAATCAGGTGTAGCTAATCACATTCTCAATGGCACACAAAGCCATTTGACTTTCATCTGTGATCAGCTGTGGTCATTTTGATTAGCTCAGCATGAAAAGAGCTTTCCTGGAGCATTTCAGTCCTTGGTAGTGCAGCTGAAGCAAACAATCAACTATGGGTGGCAAGGCACAGTCAAAAGATCTCCCAGAAGTTGTGGACAGGCTCAAGTCAGGAGATGGCTACAAAAAAATTCAAAGGCCTTAAGGTTGCAAGAAAAAATCCACTCCTCAAGAAAGGCCACATGCAGTCACAGCTGAGCTTTGCCAAAATGCACCTTGAAGATTCTGAGGCAGATGAGACTAAAATTCTATTATTTGGCCTCAACACCAAACTAAATGTCTGGCGGAAATCCAATACAGCTCACCATCCAAACAGCATTCCTACAGTAAAGCATGGAGGTGGTGCTATCCTGTTATGGGGTGTTTCTCTGCAGCAGGGACTGGAGCACTTGTCAGGATAGAAGGAAATATGGATGGGGCAAAATACCGTCAAATTCTTGAGGAAAATCTGCTGCCCTCTGCCAGAAAGTTGTCAATGGGAAGAAGGTTTACCTTCCAATATGCAACAGCAAAACTGACCAGTGGTTAAAGGAGAAAAGGTGAATGTCCTTGCCTGGCCTATAGTCAGAGCCCTGACTGAAACCCCATTGAAAATCTATGGAATGACCTGAAGACTGCAGTCCACAAACGGTCACCATCAAATTTAACTGAACTTACTGACTGGATCATTAAGGTGATCCGTTTTCCAACTCAGTGATTCTGTTTATTTATTTATTTTATTAAAAAAAAAAAATAATCTGACATGGTGTTATATCTTTCATATAGATAGATAGATAGATAGATAGATAGATAGATAGATAGATAGACAGACTACGGATTATTACAAAAATATACATACACATTCGACTGATTCATAACTCTTCTTGATTCACTAAATAGAACCGACTCACAAGAGTCATTCGTTCGGGAATCGGAATACACGACTTGTTTCTGCGTTGTTCCATCCGTATGGCAAAAGAATGCACACAAGTGAAATGTTAACGTAACCGATCGTCATAAAAATAATTTAGTTCAGGGATCCGTTTTGGTTCTCGTTTTCCAACTCTAGTGAGCAGAGACTTGCTGCGTGGCGCGATTCTTGACTCTCGATAATGTCTTCACAGAAGATAAGAGCATGTCCAGCGCGAGCTTGAATTATTTAAAACTAACCATAGCGGTTGTTCGTCTCTGTATGGGTTGCTATTATTTTTAAACCACAGCTTGAGTATAGCATGGGCTGCCATGCTCGCCCAAAGCCAAACACACATACACTCTTAAAAATAAAGGTGCTTCAAAAGGTTCTTCAAGCGACTCGCAGTTTCAGAGTGGAGGGAAAAGTCGACAAGCTTTGAAATGAAACCGTAAACGCCTTTAAAGTCGTTTTTAATAAGATTCGTCACGTAAACCGTCAACAAACTTGTGATATGTTAATCTGAAGCTGATTAAATATATCCGCTGCTTTTTCACGTCACAAACTGTTGAACATACACGCAACAAGCCACGACTTTTACATAAATAAAGTTGGAGTACTGGGAACACGCTTTCTATACATCCAGAGATGCGTTTCCAGACACACCCCGGAGCGGGAGTGTGTTGCTATTCAAAGCGATATGTGATGAGATGTTACCTGTGCGACTGCTCATCTGATGTGACGCTTGTGTTGCCTTTTTGAAAACGTCTTAACCCGAAAGACTTGTGCAAATGAAAAACAATGTAATGCTTTTTATTTTAAAGAGGACATTTGTTGTTGTTGTTATTATTATTTCTTGATCGTGTCAGGTGGCAAAATGCCATACATCTTTTTAACTCTTAACAACGCTAAGTTCATTCCTGTCCGTTTTTGTCGAACTAACCGATCTCCAGAAATCACATATGAGAAATGTATATCAACAGATAAGAATCAGACGATAACCATCTTACCTGACCTGTCCAGTTCACCTCTCATCGACAGATTCCTGGCGGATCTACTAAGACATCCGGTTAAAAGTCCTTCTATTCTCTTCGTATCCTTGCTGACAGTTTCGTATTACTGTAATGTTGCATTTAAAACATATGGCTGAATTCCAGCAGTGGAATCCAGGTTTCAATCAGCGGGTGAAGTTTGCGTTGAGCGCTTGGGACTGTCCGTGGTGCTGAAAAGGCGTCGCTTGCGTCATTGGATTCCTTGAGATTTTTTTTTTGACCCCCTCGACTGAATTACTTAAAAACGCTAAATACTCGCTTCACTATGCACACAACTTTTCTAAGTATTACAGAGCGTTACAGAAATGCATTGAAGTGTTATAGCATAAGCTGTTATGCATAAGTCTAATGCCATATTGACGACTCTAAGAGCGCGCGTGTGCACGCGTGCGTGCTCTGATAGGATTGCATTTACACTAATTTGATGTCTAACCCTGAAACGGTGAGCTCAAAATATCGACTGGATTTCTTCAACTGAAAAACAACACGAAAGTGAACATGTATGGTAGATGCGTTTCCAATTCACCGACCACTGGCACAAAACATCTACAACGGCATGTCTAACCAGTAACAGAAACAATCACTGACCGCATATCGTGAACTGTCGAGACAACTATGCTGATAACAACTTGACTCGGTCTGTTCTAACTGCTCCGCGAGACACATAATATGTAAATACGTCGAGAGACGTCAGATTGGGTCGATTTTGTTTAATTGGCCAAGCACCAGTCTGCGACGGCGATATATTAAGGTTGGCTTGTCAGAATCACACATCATGAGATCAATGTCCCATTTCAGGTCGATAGACAAGTTTCAACATAACAGGGCACGACCTCCCGTGAGAATTTTCTCAAACTGAACATAGTTTGTGTATTGACCCTTTTACACATTGAGCCAGTCACATCCCATCTTTGCTTATCAACGTTTTATAACTTGCAAGAAACTATATGCTTGCGAAATCACCAACGTATAAAAAAAAAAAAAAAAAAAAAGATTACTTACAGATGGCATATTCCTCGATGGATCCTAAACACGTTGCATTGTAAGTGACAGAGTTAGTAAATAATACATTGATATACAAAAGAACATACTGTGCAGTGAGCAAAGTCAGACCATTTAAAGAAAAAGTTGACCCAAAAATGGAAGTTCAGTTATTTACTCACCATCATGTTGCTCCGAACCCCAATGAATTTCTTTCTTCTGTGGAACAGGAAAGGAGACGCAAGGCAGAAATGTTAGGGACTGACAGCCTCAGTCACCATTCACTTTCATGGTTTCTTTTTTCATACAATAAAAGTGAATAGTGACTGAAGCTGTCATTCTACCTAACATCTTGGAAAATGACAGGGACTCAGTACTCTTTTGAATTTAAAAACTAACCAAACTCAAATTAAACAATATCATACAGGTAATACTGCTACTGTGGTGAGTATAAGTATAAATAAGATTCAGCCTCGGGTTGTTGTTCATTACAGCAGCACTATTGCAAGGTCAAAAAAAAAAAGCATAACTCCAATGCTCCTCCTTTTCTGTGCTTCACTAAGCTCACAGCAATCCTGTGACAAAGTGTTCAGAAGATAGAGAACCTGCCGGAGCTTTAGGATAAGGCACTTGTATTGATCTGTATTGTCCATGGCAAACACATCATCTAAACAGATGTAACTTTACACTCTTGCTCTCTCTACACACACAACTGTTCAAAAGGTTGGTATCAAAAATATTTTTTTTTAAAAAGAAAGAAAGTAAAAGAGAGAAATTAATACTTTAATTTAAAGACATTTACAATGTTGCAAACAATTTTTTTTAAATAAATGCTTTGCTTTTAAAGAATATACACTGTATATATATATTACGATTTCCACCAAAAATATTAAGCAGCACAACCATTTTTTTAGCACCAGATAAGTATATAATTATATAATAATTTCTGAAGGATCATGTGACACTGAAGACTGGAGTAATGGCTGCTGAAAAATCAGCTTTGCCATCACAGGAATATATTCTCTCTCTCTCTCTCTCTCTATATATATATATATATATATTACTAAAACAGAAAACAGTTATTTTAAATTGTTATAATGCTTCACAATATTACTGTTTTTACTTTACTTTTTGATCAAATAAATGCAGCATTGGTGAGCCTAAGAGACAACTTTTAAAATCATAAAAAAAATCTTACAGACCACAAACTTTTGAATGGTAGTGTGTATATTTCATATCTTTGTTCAGTAAGAAGGTTGCAGTAGCTGTTAAAGTGAACACAAACCACAAACACATCCCCATTTGCCTTACACATACTTTATACTTTCTTGCAGAATCACAATGTAAAAGACTGATCAAATGACTCGCTGAACAGGAGTAATTGTCAGTAAAAAAAGATGAAATGGCAGTATGAAACAACTGATATTCTAACATTCTGATACAGTAAGAAAAATATAATCCAAAACAAACAACGTTCCTCATGCTGAAAACCCTGTTTCTCTCCTAATTAGGTTATGAAAAATGACAGAAAAATACATGGGGAAAAAAGAGAAAATATACTTATTTACTTGAATATTTCCTGTATACTTAATTTCTTTGTTTGTATTGATTTTTTATTTTATACAAAAAAACAAATAAATTGCATGCAGGGGGCACAAAAATAGTCACATGAACAAACTCCAATCATTAACAACATGCACTTTTTATTCTCACTCTTTTTCAGTTCTATTCTACAGCAACAGACAGCATTTGGAATGAATTATTCATGTTTTGAAGCAAACACTACTGAACACTTAAGCTGTAGAACATGTTAATGAAATAAAATGTCTGATTAAGCTCCATTTAGTTGCATTAACAGTTTTACCTCATTTTCAGAATGTGCCTGATTTACTTGCTGCCTGAATGTAGTTTATGATTACCGTGGGAAGACAGACAATAGAGAAAGCAACATATACAATTTGTTTCTCAGAAATAAATACAAAGCCAAAGAATAATGTGCATTTCATTAAGTCTTTAATAAAAGGTTCTGAAAGAGATAATTGCTTGTTTGCTGATAACAAAGAATTTAGGGATGTTAATTTCAAAGACTTAGAAAGAAAAAAAAGCCTTTGATGATTTCAAAGACACAGACAAACTTTCTCCCTCTCACACATGCACCCGCACTCACATATGCGCTCATCATTCACCCACATTCCCTCTAATCTCCTTTATCCTTCACTCCTCCCTGTTCCCGATTGTTTCTCCCATCACAGGCTTCTGCTGTCCATTATGGTCTGGTCTTCCTCCTCTACTTCCTTTTTCTTCTCCTCCTTCTCCTCTTCCACTTCCACATCCAGCTCTTCAAAGGAAGAGCCACTGCCTACAGACTCACTGGACCCCTTGCCCCCTTGGTCCCCATCCTCACTTTGACCCTCTTCCTCACCCAGGCTCGGCTGAGAGCTTTCCAGCAATGGGGCTGAGGCCTCTACCACGTCCCTGCTCTCTTCAACCACTTCCTGGATCACTAGGATTGACTTTTCCTCTGGCTCACCTGGAACATAAAGTATATTAACAGGTTAATCAATTAAGACTTTGCCCCCATAACACAGAATCCCTCTAGGCCACATTTTTTTTAATATAAGGAAATATTCATATTGTGCCAACATAGTTCCACAATTCTACTCACGAAGATCCTTCAACATTATTAGGAACAATTCTGAGTGAACATACGGAGAAATTTAGTTAGAACTTTCTTATCCCCAGGCCATCCTAGATGTAGATGAGTTTGTTTCTTCACTGGAACAGATTTGGAAAAATGTTATATTACATCTTTTGCTCACCATGGATCCTTTGCAGTGAATGGGTGCCGTCAGAATAAGAGTCTAAACAGCTGATTAAAACATTAAGTAATCCACACCACTCCAGTCCATCAGTTAATGTCTTGTGAAGTGAAAAGCTCCATGTTTGTAAGAAACAAATCCGTCATTAAGGCGTTTTAACTTCAAACCAACTGTAGCTGGCCAAAATGCCAGCCCATAGTCCATAGTATCACTTCTTCCAGTGAAAGTCCATCGCCCTTTTGTCCTCTCACATCAAAATCCACCCACACGTTTGTTCAGAACCATTTTGGACTGTTTTGTTTTTTGCTTGTAAACAGTTCATGATCTGTGCATATTTCTCTCCCGATTCTGAGGAGGTGCCTTTTTCACTGGAGAAAGCAGTATTAGAGATAAAAGACTCCTGTTTTAGCTGGAAATAACAGTTTGAATTAAAACAGTTAGAATTTTTTACAAACACACAGTTGTGGATTACTTGTGGATTACTGTGATGGTTTTATCAGCTGTTTGGACTCTCATTTTGATGGCACCCATTCAATGCAGCGGATCAGTTGGTGAGCAAGTGATGTAATGCTAAATTTCTCCAAATCAGTTCTGATGAAGAAACAAACTCATCAACATCTTGGATGGCCTGAGGATGAATACATTTTCAGCAAAATTTCGTTTTTGTGTGAACCATAGAAACTTTCCATTGCACAAAAGGTTCTTAATAGGTTCAGCTTCAGATTATAAAAATATTCTTCATGCTAAGGAAAAAGTGGTCCTTTTAAGAACTGTTTAATTAACGGTTCTTTGAGGAAGCGAAAATGGTTCCTTCATGACACTGCTGTGAAAACCAACTCTTGGAATTTTTAAAAGTGTAAATTATTATTAAAGGGGTCATATGATGCGATTTCAAGTTTTCCTTGAGGGGAACAGGATCACATCACAGGAGAGTGAACTGCCTGTCAGAAATCATAGCACGTCAGCTGTTTTAACCGCGGCTTGTGTACTGCATCATCACTGTGTCTGTCACGTGACTCTGTTGCCCTTTCGGGCTTGAACTGATGGTAGAACTAACGACATTATTAACTGTCTTGATATTTACTTTGAAAGCTAACGCTCGCAATTATGGTAAGGGGCATTACATTTCCAACGCGTGCTTGTGTTGTTCGGCCAATCACAATGCACTGGGTCAGCCAGTATTTGAAAAATAATGTGTTTTTTGAACATTAAAGCATGTCAACATATTCTGTTACACCAAATACACAAAATAATGATCTTTAAAATAGCATCATATGACCCCTTTAAAAATAAGCTGGAAAATGGCAGTTTAAAGTCCTGCTGTT